AAAGCCCCCTTTATCCCTGCCCGAAAATGTAGCATTTTGTGACAGGCCTGCGGTGGAAACCACCGGAAGGCAGGCAGGTTAAGGTTCGTCGCACGGATCACAGTGACAAAGAGCTGCCCCTTTGCATCCTCGATGCAAAAGAGGCTTAGCACGGGAACTGCGAAGACCGATACTGGCCGTTAAGCCTACAAGGCTGTAGGGCTAACAGCTAGCAGCAGCTAGCAAGCTGCAGCTCTGCAACCCTAAACCCTAAACTCTAAACCCGGTTTCCCATAGCTGCCAAGCGAACTCTGCAGTTTCCAAAGGAAGCCTGGAAGCCTAGAGCCTGGAAGCACTCTGAGCATGAAGATCTGCCAAACCCGATACGCCCCCAAACCCCAAGCCCCTAACAACCCCCCAAACGGGGCTTATCATACAAAACCCCCAAACTCCAAACGCTGAACCTAATCCGGTGGTCGGAGTTTGTGGTATAGCATCCCCTTATAGTCCGTGTGTTCTTGTTCTAGACAAGATTCCTACTAAGGCCCCCATATATTAATATAGGGGCCTTAATAATTAGAATAGGGTCTTGGGGGTATATTCTACTATATAATTATAACAAGGAAGCCCCCCAAAATAGTCTAGGTAATTCTTTAGGCCCCGAGATGACACGTCGTCGAGCATCTTCCCGGCCCTCCGCCCGGGGGAAGAGGCGCTGGCGCAGAAGCGCCAACCTCTCCTCGCTTCGTGGGGGTTCGGGTTGGGGCTTAGGGCTTAGGGCTTTGGGGTTCAGGGTTTAGGGTTTAGGGCCGAGGTGGGTGAGGGGCGCTGAGGATTTAGGGTTTCGGGGTTTAGGTTTTTTTTTTTTTTTGGGGGGGGGGGGCTTTTTTTGGTTTGGGTTGGGGTTGATCAGGGTTTCAGGTTTACAAAATGGCATTTGGGGTCTAACAGAATATTAGATCTGGGGCCTTGCTAAGAAAAATGGGTTGTCGGGGTATGTTGTGGTCTCATCGCACTAAGGAGTGGGCTCAGAAATAGCAGACTGAATCGGTAATTAGTCAAGCCCCCATTACGGGCCCATTAGCCCCTGGGCTGTTTAATGGGACTAGGCTCTTGGTGGAGGGGCTTCTTGGCAAGATCAGCCAAAAAAACCCAACGTGCTCCGAAGGTCGCAGAGATGCCTCACGGTTTAGTTTAGGGTTTAGGGTTTAGGGCTTTGGGTCCCCACTTAGAGGCCCCAATGTGTGTTGAACATTCTATGGCCTAAGAATATAGGGACATCTAGGGACATCTAGGGACTATAATTAAAGCTATAAGGGAATACTTTTATCATTTTTTCAGACCTCTGCTCAGGAAGGGTCTCCTCAAGCCCTATTCTTACACCCGAAGGGAGGGGACGTGGAAGTATCCCAGTTCACAGCTCCACACCAATAAGTGAGACGACCCGTTAATAGAAACTGAGAAACCGGCGCTTAGGCAAAGCTGAGGGTTGACTGAATGTTCTTCTTGGGTATACTGGGATGGGGCTGAAAGTCCGCGGCCAACATGGCAAAATGGAAAGCCTTAACCAGCCCAAGTCACGCTTGCAGTTTGCGCCGCCATGCGACTTTCCACATGCGGCCCTAGTCGCTAAGTCCCTTCGGCAGTGTCATGTCTATAGAGGAAAAAACTGACCATGGCTATTGCTCCGGTATTGTTGGGGTTTGCAATACGTCTTCTCTCTTACTGGGAAGGCTGCTTTGCTGATCTCATGGACGCAAGGGCTTCGTTCGTGAAGTGCAGGGCCTGCCCTCGATATTATCATGCAAGGAACGACGAAGTCGCTTCATAGGCTTTGAGCTTACTTTCTATTCATGTTACTATATGACTATATGCAAGAGGCGCGATGGGATGATTGTACCTCCATCTGCAGGGCTCGAGGTTTGGATCATCGTCGAAGGGTGGGAATATGAAGCCATGCAAACCTCAGACCCTAAACACATGTCACACTGTTGGCCTAAAGCTTCTCCACGGAACTGTTCGACGCTGCGCGACAGCCACAGATTTGCACGTTCGGCATCCTAGATTCCGAGATCTTATAAGCCCTAACTACCATTGCTCTTGCTTACGTCGTTGCTGATGCTGCTGCTGCTGCTGCTGCTGCTGCTGCTGCTGCTGCTGCTGCTGCTGCTGCTGCTGTCGCTGTTCCGGGTAGCTTGGGCTAAAGGCTTCAACATGCTTGACCCGGCCCAGAGACAGGGGGACAAGCGGGCCTGCATTGCAAACTTACCACCTCTCCTACGCAGACCAAGGATCTAACACTAGGCCCTGCAGCCTTAAAGCACTCTTAGAGCTCAAACGGTCTTCTGAAGCTGCCGACCACAATAGAGAATCCATGCTAAGGAGTCTTCCAAACTCTGTGGGCTTCTTTCCTTGTAAAGGAGCCACAAAACCCGCAAACTAGCACAGCCTCTGCACCAGCTGCAAGTACAGCCTGAATTCCCAAACCCTGGAAGCCCCGGAACACCACATGTGACCCTTGATGTTACCATGAGGCCCAGACTCGAACAAGCCGGGCTTGACGCAGCAACTATTGAATTGCAGCTCTGCATCGAAAATGTTGACAAACACAGGAGACGACCCCCTCGAACCTTGACTATTACGATGCTCCCGATTGCTGCACAGCTCTCGCTATCACTGTGTTTGACGCCAGACTGTCAGCCACAACTTGTCTAACCTGATCCACCAAGCAACCCTGAGCCCTGAAGTACAGCTCCGGCAGATTGAGGCTGCCGATGCATGTATCGTACCCTACTCGGCACTATGAGAGAATACTGCTGCACAACTGCGAACCCTCTCAGATCCTGAGGATCTGGCATGCGCGATTCGCAACATGTTGCAGTCAACGAGTTGTAAGAAGTCTACTGGTTGAGAAAGCTATAGAGGTGGGTACTGCAGCTCGGGGTGTTCACAAGCTTAGGGTGTTGAGTTAGAGCAAGCTGCAGTATGTGCGGATAGAGGAAAGATCCTCAAGTCTATGCAGTCTGTGGCCACGAGATGCTCCATCTTGAGCCGAAAATGCAGAAGTTCCGGCGATGAGGCGCTTGCCTCCGAACAGGCTGAAGTTAATTTGCAGCGAGGGCTCATCCAGAACTCTTAGGTTTTAGCCGTGCCGGGTCGCGGCACAATGATGACTTCAGACGACAGGCAGTTGTGGTGTGTGTGGGTGTGTGTGTGTGTGTCATGTCTTCCACCTGTCCTCGGTCCAAGGACTTGAACCACAGAGCGCAAGCCGCAAGTTTTTTTTTCGCGGCAGCACTGCCCAATATCCAAAAGCCCGTTGTCGGTGAGGGAGGCACCGGCAATGGGAAGCGGGAAGGATCAGCCACAGAACTTGGAAACTTACCCTAGCCGTTCGCAGCGACGGGGCTAATGTCAGGATTTGGCGGGCTTGTCCGTGTGACGCAGAACCGAACAGACTGAATTCCGACACTAGCACCCAAGAATACTTCAGAATGATCTGGAGTTTGATGTACTTAGACTACTCAGCTAGGGAACCTTGTTGCAAGGATCCTCTTCTGTACTCCTGCATAGGCACCTGCCACCGGGGCCCAGTGCTTTCAGAGATGCACACAATAATTATTAGGTCTTGCCCTGCAGAAGAAAAAGTACTACAACTCCTTCTGGCCGTTTTCGTGCCTGCATACTCGGACTGGAAAACATAATTCAATTCAAAAGGTGCATCGTCTCCTTGTTCAAGGTTCCTGCGACTTAGCTTAACCCTAACTTCCGTCTCCAGCCCTCCCTGTAGCTGCCGAAAGAAGGGATGGCAACTAGTTGGGTTTGAGAGGCAGGGCATTCTCCCGTCCGTGCAGTTCGGAATCGGGCTTCTGCGACACGGGGCAATCCTTCCCACCACGGACGTTTGCTGGGAGGCAGCGTGGCCATGTGAGCTGGGAGCTGTTCAAGCTTGGCACTGCACTGAAATATCTCAGGTAACCGGTTTGACTATATACTGTCATCACTGAGACCACTTGACGTGGACACCAGACTGGCTCTACACGAATACTTGACAAAATTATGCCGCCTTGTCTCGTATTGTTCTGTAACCAAAAGGGTTTATGCATTTCCTGCCTGTTCCAGCACTTCAGCCCGAGCCTTTTGTACCAAACCCTCAACCCATCCTGAGCCCTCACCTGGCCACTACAGAAACCTCCAGGTTCTGCACGCTCTGCTGACAGCAGACGTGCCTTTGTACAGCGGCTGCGGTGCAGCCAAGAAGCCTCTGCGGCTTAGGCCGTGGTGGTGCTGCTGGCGACAACCCGTGAAGCTTAAATGCTAGTCCAAGTGGCTACTAGCAGTCAGTAGTAGCTCTGGTCGTAGTCGTCGTCGCAGTAGTATTTGTCGAAAAGTGGCAGTGGTAGTAGCGGTGATAATTTGTGGTGGTGGTCGCGGTAGTCCCGGTCGCTGACGAGGTGCACAGGAAAATTTTGAACACTTTCGATTTACTCGCGGGCCAATGCCGGCAGACCGACCACTGTGCTGCAATCACTTCGGGCTCCACATGCCTGGCGCGGCTTGGGACTTCAGGCTATGATGGCTCTGAGGATGTTGCTGCAGGGTGCAGTGTTTCGGGTTTAGGGTTCGGCTCAGTGTTCAGGGTTCCGGTTTGGTTTTCGAGTTCAGGCTTGGGGGTTTGGGGCTCCGAATTTCGGACTTTGTCCTGTGCAGTCGGATGGCTTGAGCTTCGCATACAGTGATGCTCTCCGTTGCGAATGAAACGGCAACCTTATTGAACGTCTGATTGGTTCGTAGTGCTTCTTCCATACATCTTCTGTTAATGACTTCATGCCCTTGGGTTGCAGTCCCGGCAAAGCGACTGCCTTGAGCGTCTGGCGTCGTCTTGAAGGTCCCTCTTCGCTCTGTGAAAGAGTGCATTTGGGATGGGGTTGGTTCTGCTAGAAGATGCTCAGCCGGGAGTTCCATGTGGGGGTGCTCAGTGCTCATTTCATGCAAGGCACAAGAAAGCTAATACAGTGCACGTCTGCATCTGGACCAGACTGTGACCGGAAAGTCCCTTTGGGTTATGACTTGTGGGGTTCCTATTCAGCAGACATGAAAAGCTCACATGTCTTCGACCCTGAGCCACGGCCTAATCGAGTGTTGAAGAGCACTCGCAGAGTCTTCTGAAGGTGCATGTGGTACCGCCTCGCCAAGGACTTCGCAGACAAATGACACAACAGTAAGACTGTCAACAAGACTCGAAATGGCATAAATCTATCTAGCGAAAGACTAATGGTAACGATACAAGTACCAATGCTGATAGTCACAGAAGTAATAATCAGCATACCAACACAACGAACTATGTTTGTTTGTTATGGGACTATCTGGTGCAGAACCCTGCAGATGGGTGATGTAATATCTGCGAAAGCTTCGACTTTTCGACTAGAGACTATAGAGGTAGGCATTGTGTGCTCCAGCTGGCAGGGGAGTTGTTCTATATTAGAGTGACGCCTAGAATCGCCATGCTAGTAAACAATTGGCTTCAAGAAGACACTACTTTCTAGCAATCCTCGGCAGCCTGTCGCGACGCTTTGTGCCCTCGGACACGAGCACTGCCAGCACAGGCCACAAAGCCACGTACAGAAGCCTCGGCAAAGGGCCAGCAATGTTCCGAAGCCATGTCTGTGCTGGAATCCACCGGCAAGAACAGAAAAGAGCGTGAAATGTGCACTTCGTCGAACCAAACATTCAGGCGCGCGAAGCAATCGACTCAACAAATTTGCCTATCCACATGGCCAGCACAGGAATCAAGAGTTGGCATGTTTCTACATATGTTTGCACAGTACGTGTGCATAGCTGGCTGGCTGATGGATGGTTGGATGGACGGAGGAACGGAAGGATGAATGGAAGTGCGCGTGTCGGCATGCGTGTCTGCATGTAAACTATGTCTCTCTCTCTCTCTCTTTCTCTCTATATATATATGTATATATATATATATGTATGTGTATATATATATATGTCATCTCTCTCTTGATGCGCAACGCACACGTCTTCTCTACACTCTGAACGCGAAGTCTTGGAACTCAAACGTTGTAATCGTGAAGACCTGAAACCCTGAAGCCCAAAACATGGCATAGACAAGAACTAAAATGTCCGGGCACCACCTAGGCCCGAGCCATTGTTGGACTGATGGCACCAGGGTTTCTGGCGGATCTCCCTTGCACCTGCACCGGGATTTACAGGGTTTGGACGGCTTGCGGGAACTGAAATTCCTGGTCTCGGTTTGCAGTGGAAGAGTTACAAGTCCGGCCGTAAACGAACTGCGGCGGACATACGATTCAGGATTTCAGAAAGAAGGCCCCGCGTTCTAGACCGCCAACATCTCCGCGGTATCGTCAAGTGCGAAAGAGACCAGAGCAAGACACTATCAATTCCGTGTTGCCCTTGC